TCTTCTTCTTCTTCTTCTTCTTCTTCTTCTTCTTCTTCTTCCTCTTCCTCTTCCTCTTCCTCTTCCTCTTCCTCTTCCTCTTCTTCACACCTTGCTGAGAAAAAGCTCAGGATTTTCAAGAAGAAAATCTCTGCAGCCCTCTTCATGATTCCTTTCTGCACACAAAGCTGCAGCAGTCATTTCCAAACACCTGACTTCAGGGACCCCTCTTCAACTTTCAGGAAGAGGCAGTGAAGGTGGAGGAGGCAGAATCCCCCTCCCCAACAGGCCTTCTGTGGGCACCTCTTGCCCTGCTGGACATAGACATAGCTCAGGTATGAGAAATGGTTCTCCTAACCTGCTCTGAGGACTCAGCACCGATCCCAGATCACAGCAGTGGCAAACAGTGGTCCAAGCAGATGACCTGCCCAGGCCTTGAAGCCACCAGAACTGATTGGAATGAGAGCTATTTTAGCTCCCATGGATCAGTCTGCAGGAAGTTTCTTTGGGTGAAATGCTTTTGAGCATCCTAGCAACTCCTTTTTGTCATCTTGGAAGGTATTTGGAGGTACTAATACTCCTCTATAAAGACTTAGTAAGACCACACTTAAAGTACTGCATCCAGTTTTGTTCACCACACTATAAAAAAGATGCTGGGACTCTAGAAAGAGTACAAAGAGCAACCAGGATGATTAGAGGACTGGAGACCAAAGCATACGATGAACAGTTTCAGGAACTGGGCCTGGCTAGTCTAGTGAAGAGAAGGACCAGGAGAGACAGGAGAGCAGTCTTCCAATATTTGAGGGGCTGCCAAGAGAGGAGGGGGGAGTCAAGCTATTTTCCAAGGCACCTGAAGGCCAGACAAGGAATAATGGATGGAAATTGAACAAGGAGAGATTTAACCTGGGAATAAGGAGAAATTTTCTGACAGTGAGAACAGCCAACCCATGGAACAGAAGTTGCCTTTGGAAGTTGTGGGAGCTTCATCACTGGAGACTTTCAAGAAGAGACTGGACTGCCATCTGTCAGAAATGGTGTAGGGTCTGCTTGGGCAGAGGTTTGAACTAGATGACCCTTAACCCTTTCCAACTCTGTTAATCTGTTTAATCTGTTTAAGGAGGGCTGTGAAAATATCTACAGACCCCTCACATCCTGGACATAAACTGTTTCAACTCCTTCCCTCAAAACGAAGCTATAGAGCCCTGCACACCAGAACAACTAGACACAAGGATGGTTTTTTCCCCAAACGCCATCACTCTGCTAAACAAACAATTCCCTCAACACTGTCCAACTATTTACAAAGTCTGCACTACTATTGATATTAATCTTCTCATCACTCCTTATCGCCCATCCCCTCCCCCTTGTGACTGTATGACTGTAACTTTATCACTTGTATCCTTATGATCTATATTGACTGTTTCCTAGTATGATTTGATTACTTATTGTACCCTTTGACTGTCATTAAGTTTGTACCTTATGATTCTTGACTCTTGATGAATGTATATTTTCTTTTATGTACACTGAGAACATTTGCACCAAAAACAAATTCCTCGTGTGTCCAACCACACTTGGCCAAGAAAGAATTCTCTTCTCTTCTCTTCTCTTCTCTTCTCTTCTCTTCTCTTCTCTTCTCTTCTCTTCTCTTCTCTTCTCTTCTCTTCTCTTCTTTCTATGACAAGGTCTCTACAAAAGGTCATTTCCCCCTAGTGGTAATCATCATTACCACTATTATTTGTTCTTCCTCCCCTACTTCTTCTTTTCCTCTTCATTTAGCGTAAATTCCCACAAAAAAGTGTACTAGAATTCCAGGATTAAGGACATTCCATGACACCCCTGGAAGAAGCAGAGGTTGGGATCACCAGATGTAGCCTCGGATTCTGGAGAAAATCAAGTGTAGACATAGGGTGAGCATAATCGATACCAACCATAGCTTGCAAGTTTAACAGCAAATCTCCAAGACTCACGAGGAATTATTCCTGCACTTCCCAACACCAAGAAAGACATATGACTTTGATCAAGTTGATCCACTATTTAATTCCCTCCTATTACAAATGTCTTTTTGCTAAAGATGGAAGTTCTCATTTGCTTTAGAGAAAATTGTGTTCCTTAGAAAAATGTATGGCTCTTTCACCAGGTGGTACAAATATAATGAACCTCTGGGGACAAAGAGATCCAGTGAGCTATGGACAAACAAATTCCACTTCTGTTTCACTGCCATTCCTAGCAGTTTGCAGCCTCTTGTTTCCGTCTCTGTCTGTATTTTGACACCCACCAATGAGAAGTCATGGATTACGATGACAATCACAACCCTTACGATCACAACCCTTCAGGTTAGCTCAGCACGGCTGCCAAAGGAAACCAAGCCAGTTTTTTGTTTTCTATGAAGTTGGCATGGTGTATGTTGTGTGTGTGGCTGTGTGTGGCTGTGTGTGTGAATGGCCTTGTGGCTTCATCCCGTTCTCACGAAAGCACTGCACTACAGAGCAGCGAGGAAATAGACAACTGGAGCAAAGCAACTGTTTGATCCTCATCCATGGCAGCTCCTTGGGGTAAGTCTGCCTCCTTGGTGGTTCTGGACAAGGCCAGGCCCAGTTCTGCTGCAGAGGAAATGGCAACGACTCTGAGAAGGGGCCCAAGCAGCAGCCAAGACTGATGCCCATGTTTACATCTGTCCCAATGAGATGATATATTCTACAGGAAAAAAAAAAAGAGGGGAGGAAAGGAGAGGAAAACTAGAGATAGGCCTTTGATGCAAAGAACATCCTGCTCCCCTGCATGGCCTCCTTGGCCTAAGGTGGTTGCCCCTCTAACAGTTGCCAAAGACTTACTGTTTCTGGATGCCCACTGATGCCACTCCAAACTAGCTGCCTGGAGAGCAGTAGACACTTCCCTACCTCCCCCAGAACAAAGACAGCTGTTCTTGGAAGAAGGAACAAGTGAGGAGGGTTAAAAGGGAAACAAACGTATTGAGCTGAAAGTAAAAACTCTTCTCAGCACGGCGGCTGAGCTCTGCAGACCTTGATCCGATTTATTTGTATCCCGCCTTTATTGTTTTTAGAAGCAACTCAAGGCAGCGGACATATCCAGCAGACCTTCCTCCTCTTACTTTCCCCACAACAACCTTGTGAAATGGGTTGGCCTGAGAACTTCACCCATCTTTTCAGGTTTTCGAAGTTGGGGGGCTGCAACCCAGAAGTTGGGTTGCTCAGAGGGACTTGTGGTCCAACCTGTCGGGACAACCCAGCCTGGAAAAGCTTTGCGTTGGTCCAACTCATTGGAATCAATCCTTTGAACATACAGGGTTTTAATATAATACCCTCTTCCCTCTTTTCTTTTTATTTTCAGCAGACACAGATTATTAACTTCTGGCAGATTCTTTCCACGGAAACGATTGGCAGCATCTTGCAGCCTCACCCGCTTCAGAGTCAGCCGTAGAAACCCTGTGTCCACCTGGGTTCATCCTCGCCTTCCCAGGAACTCTGGCATGAAGGTGTCCCAGGAACCATTTGTAGAGGACACGTCCTCACGACCTCGGCTCTAACCCGCTTCAGAGGTGGCCTAAATCCATCCCGAGCGGGTTTACTCTTCAGTTTGGCTTTTCCCGTTCCCGGCCTTCAGCACGTTAGTGGCGGACAGCGCCCGGCCTCTGCTCGGGGGAGGGGGGGGGGCTTCGGAGGCCCTTCAAGCCGGCTTGGGCACCGCAACCTCGGAACTCCCGGGGCCACTTCGGTGGGACACGCCGAAAGAAGAGCCAGCCTGGGAACCGGCTCTCGCTGCTGCCCTCCCGAAGGAGCCTGGCACGCGGGGGTGGCTGCTGGTGCCCACCAGAGCTTTCCGGCCTCCTTTCCCGGCTCCGGGGGCGCTGCAGCGGGGTGTGTGCGCGTGTGCGTGTGCGTGTGTGAAGAGTGCCGTTCCTCCTTGCGGGCAGCACCGGAGCCTCCGCCTCTCTCCCCCCCCCGCCTTCCCTTCGTAGCTGCCGGAGCGCGGGCGGGGCGCGGCCCTCCTTGCTGGCGCAGTGCCGCCTCCGTCCCTCCGCCGCCGCGGTTCGCCCGGCCCTCCCCTCCCCGCGAGGCCCGGCCGGAGCCCAAGGAGCTCGAGCAAGACCCGGACCCCGCCAGATGCCCCAGGCGGGCGGCGCTGGCGGGCGCCCCCTCCGCCGCGGCGACTCCGCGGGCTCCTGGGTGGGAGAGGCCGGCCGGGACGGCGGCGGCGGGAGGCTGGCGTGGCGCCCCCCCCGCTTCCCCCGCAGCAGCGGCTGAGAGGACGCGGAGCATGTGCAGAGCCGGCCGAGGGCCGGGCCGCCGGTGGGCGAGCTGGCCGAGCGCCGCGTGAAAGCCTCGCTCTGCCGGGGCCGGCCATGCCTCTGGCTGGGCTGCCGGCGCGGAGAGGGAGCCGGAGAGGCGGCGGCGGCGGCGGCGGCGGCAGCAGCAGCGGCGGCCGGCCGCGCTGAGCCCGCGCCCATGTTCTCCTGCTTCTGCTTCAGCGTCCAGCCCCAGAGCTTCGGCAGCGCAGCGCTGCCCGAGTAAGTGCCGCGGCCGGGCGAAGCGGGGGCGCACGGGGAGGCAGGGGAGACGGGGGTGGGTGGGTGGCAGAGAGCGGCCTTGCTCGGTCGGCCAGGAGCCTGGTGGGTAGGGCGGGAGAGATGGAGAGTCTCCGGGGACGGAGAGGGTGGGGGGGTCGGCCCGGGCTGCGGAGGGACCCAGGAGCGGAGCTGAAGGAGATAGATTGCCTCTGGGGGACCCAGAGCGGAGCCGGAGGAGGGGGCGGGAAGTTCTGGGCAGGCTCTGGCTTTGTCGCGGGACCGGAGGAGCTCGGGGGGAGCGGGAGGGGGAAGGGAAGGAAGAAGAAGCGATTCAT